GTATATACAGGATGTGATAGAAAAAATAGAAAAAAAGAAACATTCTATAGGTCAAAATACGATAAAATTGTTCTATGTACATGTGTCCGAAAACGCTACAGCCCCTCCCAAAAAACATATACAGGATGTTCAAAAATTGATAGAAAAAAAGAAACATTCTATAGGTCAAAATACGATAAAATTGTTCTATGTACATGTGTCCGAAAACGCTACAGCCCCTCAAAGTTTTCCCAAAAAATTCTAATTTTCTGTATACTGTCTTAGGCTTCGACTTTTAGAAAAATTGGTAGATATACTGTGTGTTTTATTTATCTTTGGTGTCTCTTCTTTTTTGCTATAAATTCTGTGACAGTCTGTATATATAAAATTGATTATTTCATGTATCATGTATATATTAATGCTAGAAAAAAATTTGTATACAATAAATATAATTCTAACTAATACCTACCGCCTGTTACTGTTTCTAGCGTAAAAGCGTTAAATCTCCAATTTCCAGCCCTTTGTAAAACGCACTGTAACATATATTACAAATTCGGATATGATAAACCGATACAAGTATAATGGGTATGATATTGTCAATAGAAAAAACAAGAATGTATACTAAATGTAAATACATAGTAATGAAAATATCTCATCTGACAAGAAAAAGTTTGGCAATTTGCAAATATAACAAATTTTGAAACTTTAGTTAATTATAACACAAAAATTTGTTTTAAATGAATTTTTCTTTTGTAAAGATATCGCATCAAATAGCCTTGACGTTTATAAATGCTTCAGAATAAAGAACTGTTTGGTAACTACAAGGGTTTCAGAAAGATAAATATATAATATATATAAAATCATATTTTTTAGTTTATTATTAATGTTTCTTGAATTTTAATTTAAAACTTAACATAAAAATATATATTAATCAAAATTAAAAAGTTGCAATAAATAATGATTTCTTGATATTTCTTCTAAGGAAAATCTCAACTCAAAATTTGTCAAAGCATCTATAGTTTTATGAAAGGGTACTTAAAATTAGTATAATTAATTTATAATATATGTCTTGCACAATTAAGAAAAAGTATTCATAAATAAAACAATTCTTTACAGATACATATACATATATACATATATATAAGTAAATTATATATGTGTGTGTGTGTATGAGATAGACATTTAATAAAGTTGCATTAAGAGATATAAAAAATGTTTTAGTCTCTCTCTCTCTCTCTCTCTTTTTCTTCTTTCTTTAAAAAAAGAATTTTGCAGAATGCAACGGAACCAATTTTGAGTAAGCATATGACTTTGAGTGGCTCTGAATTTAGCGCCAGGCCAGTTTTTTATGTCCGCGTTTCCAGATAATTTTAATAAATTTAAGATAAAAATTTCGCGCGGGGCGGTCATTGTATAAATATACTGAAATCCGCTACCTTCTTCGATGCCATATGAGAACAGTGCAAATAAGTATGTTTTTTCGCGTGTAACAAGGCAAACTATGCAGAGCGCTCAGACCATCTGATTATACGCTGAAAATTAAAAAAGTTTTTATATATATCTTATGTCTTGTTGACTCCACGATTCCTTTCTTCCGCGAAATTACGCTGATCGTCCGTTAGTGATAACAGATAAAGAAAATCATCAATAAATAGATTCTCTTATGACATGACAGTTTCCTAACTCGTTTCATAACTCATCAGTAAATTATATCAACAAACCTCATAATAGCGCATCTCGAAATAACGCACATTCTATCTATACGTACTAGACGATTCATGAGTAGCGTGAGGGAGATAACGATCCAACCGCACAGCACGCGTATCTGTAGGCACAATGTCCTCTCTCGGCGGTGTAAGTTATACTTAAGACATACTCGTGCAAGTTTCGCGGGGTCGCTGAATTTCACGGAAGTGAGGATAAGCTCGTTATAGCGTTTCAGAGCCTCGCACAGTGCGTTATTACGAGGTTCCACTGTAATCATGAGAAAGACGGAAGGAATTAGTGGTAGCAGTCAGAAGTATCTTCGTCGATCTCCTTTAAACAAACAAAAATTCTAATGTAAAGAAGTAATATCAGCATATTTCTGAAAATTAAACTTTTCGACGGTAGTAAATGAAAGAAATATTATGAAACTAGAAAAAAAATTGATAAAGATACTTTATTAACATTCCTCGGATATTAATTGAATTACATAAATTAATCAGAATCAATTTCTCTCTCTGGCAAAAGGATTTAAGCTAATATCAGATTCACTAATAGACGATCATTAAAATTATGTAAAGTAGTAGAAACATTCCATCGAATGAGGACACTGTCACATTTTTAATACGTTGAAAATTTAAAACATTTCCACTTCCGGAAACTATTCTCCAAAAAAAGGGTAAAAAGGAAACTCACGAGGAACCGAAACAATTTTTTTCGCTGAGTGCTGTTAGTCTTTACTGATTCACAGTTCAATTCAGTGTAACTGTCTTGCATTGTAGTACTTATATTTTTAGTCTCACATATTATTTCTTATATTTTTCGTCTTGTTACATTTTGCGAGTAAAAATGTATATATATATATATGTTTTTAAAAAAGTTTTGATATGATTTTAATGTAAATTACCTGCACTAGTCCGTGGAAAATATCGTCTAGAATGCCAGGCTCTTGACTCAAGGATCTAGTGATAAGCTTCTTACGCCGTCTCTTGTGTATCGTCAAAAATCGACCAGTTTGCCTAGGTCTGCATCGATCGATGTCCAAGTTTTCCAACAGAATTCGGTCCGTGTCAGATAAATGCCTGAATGCTACTTCTCTTGTAGATCCATCACGTACTTTCGATAATGTGACCGATGTGCCAGAATCACGATATAAGCTGCTATCTATAAAATGAGCATTTTTAATATTTTTCGCAACAAAAAATTGTTTTTTTCATAGAAAGTATTTATGTAGGAAATTATATTACATAGAAAAGATTCTGAATTACTGCAATTTTCAGTATTTAATATTCCCTTAAAAAAGTAATTCGTTATTACTATTAAGATATACAACGGTTTGTTAAGAAAACAATCATTGATATTCAAAAGAGAATTATTTGTATACATTATATCTTTTTGTTTCATGTAAATACCTCACAAAATTCGAAATCGCAAAGCTAATTTTTCAAAAGAGAGATAAATTTTTCAAAGTTGGAAAATGCTGTAATTTTGAACTACTTGAGGTATAAATGAAATAAAAAAAAATATAAAAATGATTTTCTTTCAAAATTGCCGTTTGTCATTTTGTAATATCTTAGAAAATGTGATCAACTTTTTATCAGAAATTGAAAATTCTGTAGTCTGTCCTATAATCTCCAAATTTTTGTATATAAATAAAATAACATAAAAAGTGATATACAAGTATAAATAATATCCATTAAATTAAAAAAAAAAATGCAGAAAATTCACAAAAAAGGATGAAGAATTACTCACCAAAGATACGCACGAACATCACATTTTGCTCCTCTTTATCCATCGCTATCTCAGCAGTACGCCTCTATAATAAAAATGAGCACTAAATTAGTTTTCGCTTAACTTATAATTATTATATGTTAATAAGAAAACACTTTAAGCGGAAAGGATAAAACAAAATACGGATTTTTCGATCTACCTAACACTAAATCATATAAGTCATAATCATAATTTATTACTTATTGTTTCTTATTTACTGTATGATTACTGTATTGATTATAAAATAACTAAAGAATGACATCTCATAATTAAATTTTTGTTTGCTCAAAAAGATAAACCATTACAAAGATTAGACTAAATGACATAATATTTTTTGTCATATAAAACAAGAAACATTTTTAGAGCTAAAATTTTGTGGAAAAAGTAAAAATTTAAATGAAATAAAATAACAAAATTTGCATGTTTTTTTTATGTATGAAAGCTATTACCACCTGTTACGAAAAAAAGATACAATTAATTGTAAGTGAAAAAATGAGATTAAGAAACAAACAATATGTGTGCTTTTCCAGTAAAATTTTTTTTTATTATTGTGTTCTATTATTCAACTATGAGATACATAAAATAAATATAAAATTAACAAATTATATATTAATTATTAAGAAATTAGTAAGACACTCATGTAAAACACGAATTTTAATTTCACGGACTACTAAGAGCCAGATATAGGATGTGCTAAAGTGCGCCAATTCTAAAAAAATTTAATTTTTCATTGAAACTGTGTCCTCCGCACAATTAATCTCGCACAATTGCTTTATTAACATTGTGAAAATAAATTATAAATATGGAATTTTAATAAAAATTAAATCAGATTGTACCTCTCAGGATTGTACCGCTTTTGCTAACTTGCATACAAGATTCGTTTAAAAAGTTAAAAAATTACCTTTATAAAAAAAGATAAAAAAGCGCGCCAATCTACGCGCTCCTCTAAAAAACTGATGTATATAGAAGTATTGTTTTAATGTATATTCTACTCATTCAAAAAATAGTTGGACAAAAAATTGCTTCAATGTATATTTTATTATTTAAAAATTTATTTTTTTATAAAAATAATTTATTGATATAGCAGTGTTGTACTATTCTGATAATGGTTGGAAAAAACAACACTCTTAGTAAAAACAACATAATTAAAAATAAAAAAAATTTAATGTATAAAACTTGGCGCTGTTATATTAATTTTCATATATTTTCATATATTTTAATTATTTATTATATTATCTTGGTATAATAATATAACATCTTGGTATAATAATAATATTAGAATAATTATTATTATATAATAATNATATATATATATATTGTATAAAGAACGATATAAAAATAATGTTAAATTGTATTATATAAAATATGCATATTTAGTTCATTTTCTTCTAAAATAATGTTAAAATGATAAGCTATATAATAAGATTTAACATATGATATCGCTTCATATTTGCATTTCAACTTTGGCTTTCTCTCTCTCTATTCCTCTTTCTCTATATTTATCTATCTATCTATTTCTCTGACAATTCTTAAATTACTATATTCTTAAAATCAAAAATAACTTATTTTTTTACAAATTTAAATTCTATAATAGAAATTACGTATAATACTGAACTTATAAAACAATCTATGAGCAGATATTTATTTTAAATACTTTTACAATCATTTTCCCAAATAAGGAGAGATAAAATCGATGTGCTGAATAATTATTATATATCTTTAATAAACTTTAACTCATCTATTTATCTTCTGACTTGTTTGTACTGTTGCATAGAAATAATCATGTGAAAGATATATATCAAACCTCGTTATATTTAGAACTCTTATTCTTGGCATTTACATACTTTTGGTATTCTTAACTGCTATATTCTTTTCCTACATTATAGCTGTTTCACATTTGCTATTTAACTAAGCAAGCGTAAAATGAAAATGTGTAATTGTGAGCATAATCAAAATAATATTTTTATTCTGCGCATATATTATTGAAATAGAATGGGGATACAAGGACAATTTAAAAATAGAAAGCTTGTTTTGTGTGTGTGTGTGTGTGTGTGTGTGTGTGTGATCCTTTTCCGATATATTAAAAGTAAAAAGTTATTGTAGTTAGAATATATTTATTCTCATTTATGACATATCTTTAGAAAATATGTGTGTGTGTATGCGCGCGTATGTATATATTGTATATACAGGATAATATCCAAGGTAGCAATGTGTCGTCTATTTGACGTCAATAGTTAGTCATTTTAGGTTGTCGATGTCATGTTACCAACATAAAATGTAAAAATTACGTTATTTTTTTATCAATTAACAACATTCGTTATTTATCTATTCTACGACGTACTTATAACGTCGAACCTTTTATCAATTAGTAACATTAGCTAACTGACCATTCGACGACGTGTTAATAAAGTTATATCGGTGATCAAATACTGACGTTAATTATAATCCATTCGGTGATATACCTGCCAAATAAACACTATTTGTTGCAGTAATATAAAGTAGTAATAAACAATATAACGTAAGATAGTTAGAACAATTAATAGAATGACCCGTAGACAAATTTTAGTTGATTCATGCAAATTTATGAAAGTTATCGTGCAGAGTAAGGAAAGGGGACGGAAATACAACTTTTTAAATCAAAGTCCTTGATAAAAGTGATATCATTCGATAGAGTCTCTTGAAAAGACAAATCTAATTTCTTATGATGTTATAAGTCTTTCTTTTTGATATTATGATCGCAACAATTTAAATATTTGATCTTTCCTTTCAAAATCTTGTTGGAGTATGGTTGTATCATGCTGAAAATCTCCTCAAAGCAACCTCATTTAAGAGGTTCTTTTTATTTTTCGTCTGAGTCCATCGTTTCCAAGATATTAGCGTACACAAATAAAAATGGATATCATTCATAGGCAATTTTCGAAAATCTGTTGCGGTAATAATATCGAAGATAAACATATAACTTTCATAGATCGGTTGATTCGTTTCTTCGAGACCTATTGAGTGATGCCATTTTTACCAAGGATTTCTATTTAAAAAATTAATCCCCCAAGATAGCTTCCACAGATTCGATTGATTCGAAATTGTCCATGACTGTTCCTGTTGATTGTTCTGTTTCTTTTTTTTTAACACCACATTTCACATAATGTTGTCGAATTAAATTAAACGAATATTATCCTTCCTTTTCCAAATGCTTCCTATATTACTTGAACGCTTTTCGTTAATAAAATATACAAAAAAAATGTGGCTACAGTGAGAGCAACGATATTGCCAATATATGGAGCGCTCCGCGTTTTTCAATATATCGTATGTTCCGGTTTTCTTCGGTTTTCTCAATTCAGACGTAGTTCGTGATTAAAATACTAGATACGTTTAACTGAAATATAGACTGACAATGAGACTTTTGTAGAACAATGATCTTAGTTCACATTTCAGTTGAACGTATTATATAAAACGTATCATGTAAAAATGTCAAACTGGCATTAATAAAATATGTTCTTTCTTTAGAGCACATAAATCCTATCGAAACAGTTACATAATAATATAGCATCTAACATATCTCGCAAGGACTGTGTTGCAATTTATGTCAAACTGACAGCTTGTTAAAAACAAGAATTAATGAACAATGCAATCATATTATAATAGAAATACTACACATCATTCGATAATCACGGATCATAGATTAATGAATGAATGAGTTTGATTGGGATAAAGTTGAAATCTTGGATGAGGAGTCTATCTTGGATAGGAGACTACTGTCTAAAACGATATTTATATCTACAATACATCGATACTGTCGGTAACGATGGTAGACAAAAATATGATGTTAGACATAATTAGTCATAACCAGCCTCTTATTACTTTTATGTACTTGATATTGAGACACTACCGCATTTCTTGATATACATATCCCTTTTTTATAGTGGTCAATATTATTTTATAGTTAACTTTAGTAAAATGGCATCCCACACTTGTAAACACTCTTTGAACATTCATATATTTTTAAAATGCGAATAAAAAGTAATATGTTTGGATACATTTAGATCCCACAATTAGGATACATATTTTACACATAATAGCCAAGTTTAGAAAAATTCGTTAAATAAGAAAAAAAAATGAATTCTCTAATCTCTCCTTCTTTATCTCCTTTATTTTCTTGAGCACGAAACAAACGAACGTCTTGAAAACAACTAATCTCTCACCTCTTCCATCTGAATGACATTTTTCACTCTCTCCGCGATCTCGCTCGCTTTCATGAGTTCGGTCTCCACGTGCTCCATCTGCGAATGACGTCTCTCTTGCACATCCATGGCCAGTTCCTGATAACAAGACTCCCCAGAGCCGCGACGGCTACCTGCGATGCACATGGCCCGACGAAACAGGCCGGCGACAACAGCACACAGGCCGCACTGCATCCCCGTAGCGCTACCGCGACTGGAAAGTGACCCACCATTGGCTCTGCAGCGGGTCCGAGACCCACGAGAGCCACTGTCACGAGCGTGGGTCGCCAGCTTCGCGTATCCGTTTCTATACACTTTTCCTATCTAAATGTCTTCGTCTTGGAATCCACTTTTCCTTCTCTTACGTTTTCTTCTCACATCATCACGTCCCCTTCAATGTGCATTCTCGTGTCCCTAATTTTCGTCGAGCTCGCGGCTGCTTATCGCGCCTATTCTATTTGAATAATCCGCACTCTCAATAACAACACTATATTAACACTGTGTATCACCTAGATGATAGTGTTAATAGGAAGATCGTTGAAAGGTAAACCAGAAATTGAGTAATCGTAAATAGGAAGTGAGAATTGAAAAGAGAAAAGAGAGCAAAGTACAATATATACTTCATGCTAGGAGGCGAAAATTTGTTTTAGAATATTGTATAAAATTAAAAAATAAACCTATTATAATATATAAGTGGTAACTAATTACTGTAGTATCGATTATAATATTATAACTTCTTAAAACAATATATAAAGATAAGAGAGATTCTAGTGATTCTTGCATGCAGCAATATATCTCGCGTGTAAGAAATCATTGTGCGAAAAAACACTCTGAAATATATATAAAATTAATAAAAATATAATAAAATTGATGCAAAATCAACAAAATTTAATTTAATAAAAATATATTATACTGAGAATATTTACTGTTTTTTTTTATATGTACATGATTTATTTTATATTTAAAATATAAATATTAGTATTTTCAGTTCAGTCACTTTTTTCAAGAACTCTACAACAAATACTAAACTTAATACTAAAAATAATAATTATACAGATGCCCTGCTTTAAATACCTCATGTATTGAAATAAATTTTTTCAACAAAATAATCAAATTAATTGAATATTCAAATCTTGGAAGCACATACATATATGCATGCATATTGTATACATATATGTATGTATGTATATGCATGAAAAAAAAAATAAAAGAAAAAGGAAAAGCAATTTATTATTCTCTATAAGTAAATACATAAAGATTATAATAATCAAATAATCAAAGCTATAATATATTTATATGCGCATTAAAGATAACGTAATAAATATAATATAACGATATATGTAAGAACTATTATAAACAAAATACTTAACAAATATGATTTAAACATAAAAATTATAATAAACATATATTTAAAATAATATAAAATAATTTACTATTAACAAAAGACAGAAATAAAAATATTACATTTTTAACAATATTGATCCTTCCTATATCTCATGAAAAACTCAATTTTGAAAATATTTGATGTATCATTCTTTTTATAGATGCAATCTAAATTGTGTGTGTATGTTTGAAATAATTTTCAAAAAAAAAAAAGTAGAAAGAGAAAATAAAGAAAGGTATCATTGAGCGGAAGAAGATGGGAGAGAAAAAGAACAATAAGGAAGATAGGACAAAAAATAAAAAGAGAACATTTAATATTAAATATTTAACATCTAATATAATTTGTTTTTAAACTCGAGAAATATATATTATAGAAAATAATGCTCGAAAAATATACGATTCGATAAATAAGCGATGAGAATGAGACGATCCATATGTAATTGATGTATCCATGTATAATCGAAAGAGACAAATTTGTTCTCACATAATGCAATTTATAAGTGATAAAAAGAAATTATTGTAAGTAATTATTATGTTATGATGTTTAAGTGTCATGATACTATGAGCACAAATGCAATCGTATTAATAAAAATCTTAATTGGATATTATCGGTTTATTTTTTAAGCAGATAAGATTATGTACATTTATGTTACATTACAGTTCGATTATTATAAAATAATTTTTATAAAAAATTAATGAAATTATTATAATATAATGCCGCGATATATTATTTACGTAGTACAAATACATACATAATTATGATAATGGACTAAATCATAATTAGGCATTAAGAGCATTATCAATTGTTTTTAGACATATGAGTATGTAATGTTAAAAATTATAGTACATACAAAATTTAATTGATAAAAGACAATATTATTTTTAAAAAATTTAATAAGAAATTAATGGAGTTGCTCAAATGTCACGATTGAGAATTACAAACTAATTGAGTTACAAATACGTGATATATATGAATGGCGCTAAATCATAATGAAATATTATGAACGTAGATAAACATTAACAAATAATATTTATTTTAATAATATTTATTTTAATAATATTTATTTTAATAAAGTAACATTGCTCTGTAAAAAACTCTTCTTTCTTGTGTATGTGTATGTGTGTGTGTGTGTTATTTTAGTTTTTACTTTTACAATATGTTTCTCCACTCTTATTCAATAACAATTTGTAAAAAAATCATAGTTTCTCGAGAAAAATAGCAAAGAATGATTTTCATTAATGCGTAATAAAATAATAAAAATGGAATCTTTACGATTGCTTTGTTAACGATTGCCTTTTCTCTTTTTCCTCTCTCCCCCTCTTTCTCTTACTCTCCCCTTTTCTCTCTTTTTGTCACTCTTTATAGATTGTGTAGGCACGAAATATGCTTCATGCTGGATATTAGCAATATCAATCAAATTCAATTAGGAGATTATGTAATACCTTTGGAGTAATCTGTCAAAGTGTTGGGCATAATGGTTTCTTCAATATTATCATGGACAAAACATATCAATAACATATAGAGCAATATCAACATAGAATATTGTATAATAACTTAAAATATATAAAAAACTTTTTATTTTTATTCAGTCTCTATGTAAATATTATAAACTTTAATATATCCGCATTTTGATTACTTGTTGTTTGTAATTGTTGGTTGTAAATTACGTGTAATTTATTGTTAGTTATAATGCATTTTTAATTCATACACTCACTTTGTATTTGATATAATATAGTTGAACCAAAAAAAAAAAAAAAAAAAAAAAAAAAAAAAAAAAAAAAAAAAAAAAAAAAAAAAAACACGAAAACAAGATTAGTCATTTCTCGTTTTTTATACAATTCCAGTTTCCAAATTGCTCCATCATGTCATAATTTTAAGAAATTTGCAATTAAAGTTGCCGTTAAAAAATCTTGTAATTTTCTTCGGTTTAATTAAAAAAAAATTGTGAACGTAAGAACAATAATAATTTATAAATTATTATGTAATGCATTTATTAAAATTCTATAGATTGTGCTTTATTGTTTTAATAATTAGAAAGAATTGACTGATAAAAAAATATAAATAATTATGAAAATTGATTAAAAACCTGTTTAAAAAATAAAGAATAATAAAAATGTTAATATTTTCGAAATTTTTCTGCTTTTGTCGGGTTGTGCTGGACAAGCACAATTTTTCCTGACAAAATATCATCACATCATCAATTTTTGATGTGCGATAGAAATTAGGTGCATAGATTTTAGAAATACAGCACATTAAATCAATATTTTGACCTATTAATTTTGTGTAAATTTTTGTTACTTTCTCTCTTTGATAATGTTTTATAAATATTTTAAATATATTATTTTGTAAGATAGTATTTTTTTAGTATCATAGAAACATTTTTAAAACATTATTTGAAAATATTTTTTCAATGTTATTTTAACACGTTTATTTGCAGTAAGTTCAACATAGCTGCAATAGTTTTAATTTACAAATTTTATTTTTAAACTACTGTTAAAAGTTAAAGCAATAATGATTTTGTGTTGTTACAATGTCTTTTTTGTATTATTCTGAAATTCTAAATTATAAGAAAGGAATATTACAAAATTAACTATTATTGGAAATAGTATAGTTCATTCGCTTATCACTATGCAACGCACTATTCTTACTGTCTATTCTTACTGTCTGGTATTCAAGTTTTTGTCACGCATGTATACAGAGCCTGCGAAATGCGGCTAATAACATTGTAACAACTATTTCTATCAGTTTCATTTTTGATATGATTTCCATAGAGGGGAATTCAGATATTCAACTGATTTTTAGAAAATTGGACAAATAAATGTTCGATTCGGACAGAAATTGTCCGAATAAGTGATGAAGTTAAGTTTTTCTATAGGCCATGGCCCGTCAAGAAGCCGTAAAGACTTGATTAGAAAGATGCAGTCTGTATAATAGGCAATCTAGCTTTATCTAACTTGTTCTAAGCTTTATCTAAATTGTTCAAAGCAACATGATGAATTTTTTAAATAAAACAAGAATGTTATTTAAAGGAAACAATAAAATTATTGGAAAGAATAATATAATTGTTTAAGTCAAAGAAAAAAAGAAAAATTTTTTCAAAAAATATTTTATTTAAAGTAAACACATACGTTTTTTAAAAGTCAAACAATCATATTTGTTAGTTCAAACATTAGTTTGGCTGGATTATCATTTCATTGATTAAATTTCTCTAACTTCAATAAAACTTATTAAATCCAAAGAAACATTTTTCTCTGTGTAAGAACAACATTTGCGCAACATTATTCGCAATATTAAGATACTCCCATTTCAAATCTTATTAAAATCTTAAAATCGATGTAAAAGTTTTTTCATAATGACGTTGATTACAACGTTAAAACCTACATACTTAACAACATTACATATTATTGAATATCGTTGTAAATAATAACGTTATATTAATGATTTGTGTATATATATATATATATATATATATATATATATATATATGTATATGTATATGTGCGCGTTTTTTTTTTTTATATCAACGTAACAGCTATCGAAGAATCACGGATATGTACAATTAGGGATATGCCCGGCCGACACGTTAGCATCATTTGGTTTTTTTGC